TGTCCATCTCAGTGCCCCAGAGGCAAGGGATACAACAGCCAAACCGAATCCTCTATCTACATATACACACACACACACACACACACACACACACACACACACACACGTCTTACATATCCAATTCCACTTCCTTCATTTTGCCTTCAATCACTGCTTCCTCAGTTCCGCCCCAATTGCCCCAACACACATAATTCCTATATTTCTGGAATTGACTATAGCCAGGGCATTTCCAACACCATGAGCCTTCAGAGAGTTACCGACAACTGTAGTCACAATCCTTTTCTCTCTCTTTGCCTTGCTAAATCATCTCTCAAAATGCATTATATAGACACCTTGCCCGAAAGGTTTACTGAGAAATAGCCTGTGATAAATTTCATCTTACTCCATGTTCCGCACTCTGTCCCACCACTGTAGCTCTATTGCTGGAATTGATATTTCTAATAAATAATATACTCCCTAATCATTCTACCTCTCCATTAAAAACATATTTTTTCCCATAAAGTGTTAGAGTGAAACTTTGTTCTTATAACTTCCATTCTTTCTTCTCTAAAAATTATAATATATATTCTTATAAATCCATGGGACTCGACGGTGCCTCCTTAAGCTTTCTCATCAGAAGAGAAAAAAGCTAAGCTAGCATTTGCCTGTTAAAGACAAGTGTCTCAGAAAAGTCACTCCCGCCACCTTGACTTCCAAAAGGAATCTGATCAGAGAGCACTTTACATCATTTGAAGTTATTTCTCTGTCCCCTGCCCAAGGCCCAAACCCATCAGATACGTTTCCTTTGCAATATACAGCTTCCCTCCACAATACCCTCAATGCACCCACACACAGACACAGAGACACACAGACACAGACACACACACACTCACTAACACACACACTCTCACACACACACACACACACACACACACACACACACACACACACACACACAATTCTCCAGTGCTTTTAAAGGGGGGGGGGGAGAGAAACCCCATAATGTAATTGCCATATTAAAAAGAAAAGGCAGGCGAGAATAATAAGGGAGGGTGTCAGAAGTGAAATACGGTACTAGGCATTTTTTAAAAAAACACTACAGTTCTCTGATGGGGGTGTTAATTGAACACAGAGAGAAAAAGAAAGAAAGAGAACAAAGAGGTGTTAAGGAAAAAAATTTTTTACCTCCTCCAATGATTTGATTTAACTTCAATGCAGATAATGCACAGAGGGAAAAGGGCTGCAAAGTGCCAGATATAGCTATTATGTTCTAAAATTAAAAACTATTCACAACAATTGCAGCTATTCATTGCCAGCTATAAATATTCTGCTTAGTAAACTGCACCTAAAAAATTTTGAGTGTTTTTCCTACTTTTAAAACCTCCACGATTTTGACAAAGAAGACAAATAACAGGAGATTCAGGAGAAAAAAAATTATTCAAGGTCTTTTTAAGAAATGGAATTTGTTTGACGCTTTCTCCCCCCCCCAACCTTCTCCCTCCTACCTCTGATCCTACTGCTAATATGTCAGATGACAAGGAATAGTTCTTAAAACCAAAGGCAAAGTCATATTAAATGGTCCCATATCCTGTATCCCCTCTCTCTTATGGGTCTCCACAATGAGAAAATAGTATAAAACGCATGCAGCTGAAACATAGGCTTACACAGTTTTGTTTTGTTTTTTTTAATAGCTTGTCAACCAAATGTTTTTGTTAGTGTATATAATCCTTATTGAAGAGAAGAAAAAAAAAGGGCATCATAATAATCCACCCGCACCCTGAAGCAAAGAACCTCATGTATTTTTTTTTAAATATGCCCACAGTGATTTCGGTCTTAAATACCGATCAATCAGTTGTAATTTAGACAGATCTGCCTGGTTGTTGTTTTTTAAAGTTCTAAAAGGCATATAAGTCAATGTGAGGGAGTTTTCCTATTTACCTCCCAAACCTCCAACAACAACAAAAAAAACCCTAAAAATAGCACAAAGGAATAAATCAGTATCATGACTACTGTGCCCTTCTCCGAGTTGTACATCTCCTAACAATAATCCAAGTTCAGGAATTTGGCCCAAGCAAAGACAAATATCAAAACTTTACATTGACAAAGAAAACCACCCCAACACCCAGCCATTCTATAGCCCACAAGATAGAAGCACCAAAATGTTCCCCAAAGGGAAATGAGGGTAAAAGTAATGCCAATGAGGGCCCTCCAAACAACGAAGGAATGTGTGCACTAACAGGATCGCTTCGGCATCTCTGTGTCGAAAAGAACGCTTGGGCAACTTTACAGACATTTTATGTTTCTCCGACACATTAACCCCATGAAAGATATGCCATCACATCAGGGAGTCTACAGCAGCTCTTGAGTCACGTACTAATCATGTTCTGGAATTGGAGAGGTTCTTTTCAAGACATCATAGACAACTCCTACCTTACTATGGAACGTTCACATACCACTGGTGTCTACCTATTTCCCATTGATATGGCACATCTATCTTCCCCACCCTGGCCCTTCACAAGCAAAAAAAAAAAAGTCTAAATTTTTAGTTTTGCCCAGAGCATTCCCTTGTCCTGGATTCTGTCTTTACATTTACTTCCTCTTCAGTAATGCTAACTCACCATGACCAATAGTTCCTACCTTTTACAACTCACATTCTTTCAGAAAGAATTTTATTTTTATTTTAACCTGAAGAAAAGATAAACTTTATTTTAAGCAGATCTCTTTTTTTTTTTCTAAAATCACAAATATGTTTACAAGGCATCTTTTTTTTTTAATTGACTCCAGCCCTAAATGATGTCTTGGGGATTTTTATTCTCATGAATATAGTAACTTCTTATGATATTACAGCCAATATTAAAGAGACAGCCAATATTAAAGAAAAAAAATTACCTGTAGTGGATCTTAAGCTACACTATCTAACTCTGACCTACTGTCTCAAAAAGGCTTTAATTAGAAGACTAAAATTAAACACCTTCATCACTATGAAAAGTCTAAGGATTCTGACTTGTATCTTGGCCTGGAAATGTAATGTAGTATCTTCAAAAACTATACACTCTTCAGACAGCCTCATCACATACAACTTTATGCCGCTGGTTTTTGGTTTTGTGTTTTCAGAGAAAAAAATCAACTGGGAGTAGTATCTAGTTTTGATTTTCTTTTGAGGGAAATGAGTATCAATGGCTCATATATTCAAAGCAAATATCATCAGTGTAGATATAGAGGAAAGGGGAAAATAATGAAGAATAAGAAAGGAGAGAAAAAGCCAGCAACATATAAACTTAGGTATTTTTTTCTTCACTCTCAGGAAATAAATTCAGAGTATGAGGCATGTTAGCCACCACTGCCCCCCCAAAAAAAAACTGCTTTGAAATGTGTATACACAATCTATATAATCTATTACATAGTCTCTAGAGTAATGTAATTAACAGCTTCCCAATAAGGTTAGACTTTGGCAATGCAACCTTAAGGACTCAAGCGGGTTGAATGTCACTGTTTAGGTGCTTTGTCTAGGTTACGAGCTTCACAAATAACATTCAACAAAGGGCTGTAGTCATTTTATATATACTTCAAGAATCAAGTAACCATATTTCTAATCAGTTTCTCACACTTTGAAGCATTTATTTATTTAAGGAAGGGCATGGGGATGCAGCACTCAAAAGAGAGCTACCCTGGGTGCCCTCCCTCTATTCGCCCCCCTCCCCCTTTTATGTGTAACTATCAATGTATATCAACCGGGCATGCAATCATATTTATTGTCACTTTCATTCATGTCATGCCCTTGCTTATATGGTTTAGATATGAATTATTGACTGTTATGCTCCTTGTTGTAAAAATATATAAATAAATAAAATGTCAGGTACTTTGCACTGCACTAAAATGAGAGAGTCAGGTCGAAGAAGAAGGGCCTCTTCTTTTCCATACCTGACCCTTCAGTACCTCCCCACCCCCCCATCCCCAGTTTTCCAGCTGTCTCCTTAATTCCTTGGTCCTCCAAGACAGGAATTTGCCCACCTTGGAAAATCAAAGGAATGAAATAAACAAACAAAGTATTTTGCTAAATGCCCTCCCCTAGCATCTGTTGTTTAAGAACACCTCTGACTGATGCCTGCTATTTTTTAATTGTTGCTTTTAAAATTTAAATGCCCTCCTGGGATGCGCTATAAGTGCTATTACCCCAAGGTTTGAGGTCTAGAAAGTAGGAAAACAACAGAATAAGTACTCTTGTGCCATTACGTCCTCCTAAATTCAAGAGTCTCCCTGTCATAAAATGATACTACCCTAAACTAACCAATCACCTAATCCAATATTAAGGTTTCTGCAGAGAGATCTGACAAGACACCCTGGTTGGCTTTCCCAGTAAGCAGCTGATTTGGGCCTTTTAATTAGGAGAAAAGAGTGAAAGAAAAACTTTAAAAGCACCCTCATTCTTAATAAGATACATTTTACTATCAATCAAAACATGCTTTCCCCAGGAAATGGACTTTCACTTTCAGAATGTCATTCTCCAAAAGACTCGCCATTTTAATACATTTCCCCCCTCAGGACTTATATTTTAGCCCCAATTTCAAGAAAACCAGAGGAACTGGGGGGGGGGAGACAGAGAAAGAGAGAGAGAGAGAGAGAGAGAGAGAGAGAGAGAGAGAGAGAGAGAGAGAGAGAGAGAGAGAGACAGAGAGACAGAGAGACAGAGAGAGACAGAGAGAGAAGGTCTTCACATATGAAAGCTACATGCTCACTCTCCATGCAAATTTGGTGCTTTTTTTTTTCTACAGGCAGTCCCGGGATATTGGTATATGGTGAAAAATAGGGTTAATTTGGAAAACAACAGTGCCCTGTTCACAACCTTTATTCTGGAATTCTAGTACTTAAATAAAAGATGCTAGATAACTCTGATTCATTTAAAAAAAAACTTTTTTTTAAAGAGAAAATAAGGTTGCCTCTATCAGAGGGCAAGAGGTTAGCGATGCCATTTGGCCAAAGAAAGAAAGAAAATGCTTAAAAGTCTAGAAACCCATCCCTACCTGTTTTTTCTTTGATTTCGCACAACACATTAAACAAGGCAGGCTTCATTCTGTGGCAGTTTAAAGCATGTTTCCTGTAAGAAAGAAACAACATTATAGAACGGCAGCTTTAGGTGAACTTTCGAGATCAAATTGCTGATAATGCACAGGGGGAAAGAAAAATTCCAAACGTTTAGCCAAAATTATATCCTAAGCATAACTCTGTGGTATGCTCCAATTGTTTTAATGACTTAATGTACAGAGTCCCACCACGGAAAAAGAAATCATGTTAATTAAGAGAGGGAAGGGAGGGGGCTTAACTACAGAACAGAATGAATCTAAATTATGCCTGTTTATGAATAGTTTTTAAAAAGCAGTTGCAATAAAGTGGCCTTCTTAAACCAATACTTCTACAGAGGGCAATTAACACAGGCAAAGCCAAATGTATGGGTTAATAACCCTGCCCAAGCTCTACTTCTTATTCAACATCCACAGCTTTAAGGTCTTTCTTTTTCTTTCCAAATTGAATTCATCCGTGTGTTCAAATTCATTCTGCAGACACCCCCTTCCCCCACATCCTCATAAACATAAGATGCTTGAAAGGTCTTCTGAGCAGAACTGTCAATTTATAAAATTTCAGTCCCCAAGTTAAAGACTATGGAAATGCATTGCCAGGGGCAAGCATACACATATGGGGAATAAATTCATTTCTCTATGTTCACATTATACCTCTTGTGCACACACAGCTTATTTGCAGGTGTTGAAATTCAATTATTTACAATTAGGACCTTGCACATATTGAGGGGGAAAAAGAACCAATTCTGCCTTGTGGACTGATTCTTTGCTTGACTGTTTTTATGCTCAGCATGAACTTGAGGATTAAAACAATACCTTTCTCTCTATTTTTCTATGTAATTACTCATAGTAGGTTTTTTTAGTGAAAACAAAATACAGCATAGCCAGCCCAAGAATTCAGAGATTTCTGTTTACCAACCAAAATTAACACATAAAGATTAATGTAAGCCTCTGACACTCAAAACACATGCTATTTTTTTTAATCCCTTTGAAAGTTAAAAAAATAGACATGCGATTAAATCAACTCTTTCCTCCTAGGGAAAAGAACCCAGAAGCACATTGTATATTCACTGTACAGAAGTCCCACAGTCAGTCCGTGAAAGTATCCAAATGGACATATGCCTTTGTACCTAAGAAATATACTACCTATTCTACACATTTCCTAAGTAACAAATGCTCTTGGTCAAAGAATGAATGAGAAAAAGGAAAACTGGACACAATTTATACTATTTACTAAAGACACACCTTATGCTTAGCAACCAAGTAGGAAGTAGTAAGCTAGCAATTTCAACAACCTCTTCTTGGTGGGGGGTTGAGGAAAGGGAAAGAGTGAGTGTGCCTTTCTGCAGGTATCAAAGCCTTTTCATTTGTTTCTACAAAATGTTTTTAATTGTACACATATCTGAATGCAAACAAAAATAACTGCTCAGTTTCAAAGGGCTGGCATTTATACACCTTGCCTATTTGATTAGGGGAAGAGGGGTAGAAGGGGAGAGGGATTGTTTTTCCCCATCCCAACAGCAGGTCTCATCTCTCTTGCACTATTTAGTTCATTGAAAGTGGTGAACTCCAAGATGAGTTTTTTTTCCTAGTTACTAACATACATACATACATACATACATACATACATACATACATACACACAGGATGGGAAGATCAGAAAGATGTATAGTATCCACTCATCTCCTTTCTTCCCCACCTCAAACTTAATAAAGTAGTTTATTCGTATGTGTGTTTTTCTGAAACAATGTAATGAAACAATTTGTTCAGCTCTGAGTATAAATGATAGTGAGAATTCTTACCACCCCTACCATCTTTTTTTCAGATTGTAAAATTATAAAAGGCACCAATAAATTCTAGAGAACTATACCCCCCCCAACATCACTCCTTTTATATTTGGAAAAGGGTCCTTAAACCTTCTCAACTTTTCAACAGCCTCTCCATATCCCTACTTCTGAATTACGTGTTGCATGTGCTTGTACCTAAAATAATACAATAATTCATTCAATCTATGCTTTTTGCTGTTTCTTCTCCAGCTATCATTTCAAAATTCTCACTTTGTCAAAACATCATGTAATAAAGCCTCAAAATAACCAAGTGATTTGAGGTTTGCTCTTTTTTTTTTAAGGACACATTCTTCTAAAGGTTTCCAAAGTTGAAAAAAGGGGGGTGGGTACTTCTGTGATTGATTCTGCTTTTCAAGGCTGGACAATCCCACAGACCTAAGTAGAAATTAGACTTCTTTATTTTGTTTGGTTTTTCTTTCCCCCCAAGAGTTTGGGAAGGGAAAGCTTTTGGTCCGGGACGTTGGGCATTCTGTGTTTTTATTTTGAAATCCAGTTTCCTAAAATGCCAACATAAGAAATACCAATTCCTTGGCGCTGGTTTAAGTTGAAAAACTGCACTTTTGCTCATTATATTTCCTCAAGGAACATCCTCAAGCCCCGTGGAGTCCACACACAGATAATTCAACCACGGTCTCAGATATGATTTCTAGCATCCTACCTTCAGGTGCTCCAGAAGGAGATAGACAAGAACAATCTTGATTTCTGTGCCTTTTTTTTTTTTTGAGTAACATACATAGCTGGTTTCTGTCAGTACAGCTTAGGAAACTGACCCAAATTAGAATTCAAAACCCAACTGATTTTTTCCTGACTCTCAGAAAGCTGACCAACATATCTACAAGCAAAATTCCATTTTTCTCCTTTCCACGGCCCATTTTTCCCCCTTAAGAGAGAGAGCATTAAGTATATGCAAAATATTCTCTGGATAGCTGACAACTACTGACAAAGAAATACCCTGTTCCACACACAGAAGGGAGGTCGTGGGGGGAAGGGAAGGAAAAGAGAACATGGAAATTAGAATTTTTTTTTCCTCCCTTGAGTCATTAAAGATAATCAAAAAGATCTGAATTAGACAACTTATAATTTAGCAAATAAAAGTGTTCTTGGGACATGTTGTCCTGTAATGTGGGGGGGACCCCACAGGAAGATGGGGAATGCTGTTCCAAACTTGACAATTCTGCTTTCTGTGTGTGACTTTTTTTAAAGGCAGTAAAAAGTGCTGAGGGCCGTGGTGTGATCAGCTGGCAACATTCTCTGTGTGCCTCGGTTTATGTGTTCATATACATACACACACAGATCATATGTATACAGACCCATCACGGCATGGACGATTACACTTTCAATAACAACACTCCTGCAAATCTTACTCCTCCGCCATGTAGTTGCTCCACAAAACGGGAAAAGAAATAACCCGAAAAAGAATGCGTCGTAGTGATTCAAATCCCATTGTTCCCCACGCCCCCTCCCCGAAGGAAAAAAAATAAACAAACAAATCAAACCACCCAAGAAATGAAAAAGAAAAGCCTCAATCTCACCTGGCCTGCGCCTCGTCCAAACTCTGGTCTGTGATGGTCATAATTTGCTGTAAAATGTCTCCAATGTCCTGCTTTCTCCCTCCCTCCCCCTCGGTCCCTCCAGCCCCATCCTGCAAGTGTTGGGACAGGCCGGGGTGTCCTGCCATCCCCACCCCAGCATGGGAATGCATCAACCTGGGCTGATCATCCATCTCCAAAGGCAACAGCAGCCCCTGTTTCCTCCTCTTCTCCTCTGCTCGGCTCCTTGGAACTACCAAGGCTTTTTTATCGTTCAAGCTGTCTCCAAATCCTTTTCAGAATAAAGCGGGGAGGGGGGGGGACCAAAAAAAATCCCTTTGCCTCTTTTAGAGGATGGTGGGAGGATGGGGAGTGGGGAGAGGAAGGGGGGGCGTGAAAGGGTTGCAGGGTGAGGGTGGGGATGAGGGCTGATGAGGAAGGGTGTTGACTCCAAAAAGCAAGAAAAATAAACCACCTTCCCACTTGGTGAAAAGAAATCAGAGCTGGATTTTGGGTTGTTTTTAGTCCCGGCTCCTTTGCAAAGCAGAAATGGGCTCCAGAGCTTAAATCTGTGGCTTAATCCTTTTGCAAATATGCATTGATCTGGAGAAAAGAGAGGAAGGCAGGGGGATTGCAATGCAAACTTTCCCCCCCACCCCCCGCCACCCCCCACCCCCACCCCCAGCCAGAGTGATCTCAAAGGGGGTGGGCTGTTGCAAAAGCCAGATCTCCCCCAGCAGCGGCAGCAGGCAAAGAAGAGAGAGCCTCCCTTCCTCTCCGTGTCTCTGCAAACTCCAGCAGCCCCTTCTGCCTCCTGCTTTTGTTTAGCTCAGGCTCAGGACTCCTGAAACTGACACAGAAAACCACAGCCGGAGAGGAGGAGGAGGAGGAGAAGGAGAAGGAGGAGGAGGAGGAGGAGGAGGAGGAGGAGGAGGAGGAGGAGGAGGAGAAGGAGGAGAGGGGAGGGGGTGGAGGGAAAGCGGGGAGGGAGGGAGGCGGGGAAGCTGGGAGGCAGAGGAGGAGAGAAGGAGGGGAGGAGGGAGACTGGGTCACCGCCCCCCTTCCCTGATTGGCCATCTGAGAAAAGACGAGCCCCTCCTCCTCCCTACTTTCCTCACATCACCTCCTCCTCATCCTCCTTCTCCTCCTCCTCACCCAGCACTCTGTCAATCAGAGTTCAGAGGTGGGCTGTAAAGGAGGCTGAGCTTACAACCAAGTCTCCGGTCCTTAAAGGTGCCACTAGCATGATAGTTCTAATTCAATTAGGCAGTTTCCACTTTTCCTCCTTCTAGAAAGACACAGGTTTTACCAGGTTCTGTTACAGGATGTGGGAAAGACGTGCGTGACTTTACTTAACTGCAAGCGGATCAAAGCAGAGTGAAAAGACCTTGGATTCTCTTAGGGAATGGTCCCCCACCCCACCATCACCCCTCAGCCATAATGTTTTAAAACTCGCTTCTGCTACATCTTCGGAATCCGGAGGGATTACTTAGGACGCTAGTTTTGACAACACTGAACGAGAGCAAAAAAGAATGAAGAGCGATTCTAAATAGCCAGATGAACAAAATCAAATGTATTGAGGTTTTAGTCGCAATAACAAACAATAGGCTTGTTGCATCAGAAGTAAATCAAGGACGATAAAACTAAATAATGCTGAAGAAACACAAATTTTAACAAGGAGGATTGTGTCAAATAAGAAAAATTCAACTTTTTTTCCATATCCATGCCTCACCCCTCCAGTACTGGAAAATTAGTTCTTAGAATTAGACTGTCATGGCACACATTCAAGTGGCAGTTTGTATCGGAGATGTTTACAAAGTACTTTACTCACAAAATCTCTATGAGAGCAGTAATGCAAATAGTATACTCAGTTATGGTGAGGGAAAAAAAAAATCAATGGTAAAATAATTTGCCCAATGTGACCCTGCTGGTAAGTACTGAAGCCAGGAATGGAATCAAAATCAAAATCCTCTGATTCCTGACTCCAGGGCTTTTTTTTACTCTACCAAATACTTAATTAGGAAATAAATAAATAAGCATTAAGAGTCTAGTGCTAAGTTGTTGGTTTGTTTTTGGGTTGTTGTTTTTTGGGTTTTTTTTTTATGTAGTCCTGGAAAGCCCAACTGTAGACTGGAAAAGAAGAGGACAGATTAAGTGGCTCTTTCTCTGTCAGGGAGAATAACAGGAAAATTATTTATCCCTCCAAAGCCTCAGTTTCCTTATCAGCAAAAGATAAGAATTGCTGCCAAGTAGCACTTGCTAGGTGCTTTGAGATCATAAGATGAAAAATGTTATTCTTAGCATTCACCCATTACCCAAGTCTCCTTCCCACTCATTAGCACAAAACAAGTTTGGCAAGATAAGTGGAGTGGGTAATTATTAAGGCATTCCTGAGGCAGCTTTTAACAGGCTGCTTGACAGGACAGGACAATGGCATAAAGGCATGAATATGATTTGTAATTACAAAGCCATATTATTAACAACTATTTTATTAACATATATGTATATACTGATTTATAAGCTGTTTTAAAAATAAAATCCTAGTGAAAAGCTAAACCACAATAATATACTTTCAAATAATACAAGTATCATACTGATAATTTGCAGCCATGCAATTTACCACAACCCAAAGTCAAGCCCAAAGCCTCAAAGAAATTAGCCTGAGTCTAAAGAAAATTAGGTTAAGAATAAGAACTTCAAGTTATAAAGCCACTTAAACCTCACTATAATGCAATCATGCCATAATAGCTCCATTGTATTCTTTGATCCTCACAACAACCATGAAAAGTAGGTGCTATTATTGCCCCCATTTTAAGGATGAGGAAACTAAGGCAGACAAAGGTTAAGTGACTTGCCCAGAGTCACACATCTAGTAAGTATCTTAGAATTGGATTTGAACTCAGGTCCTTCTTGCTCCAGACCCAGGACTGTATCTACTTCACCATGGTACCTGACTTCCCCTATATGAACAACATTACAGATCTTTCTCATGTTCAAGTGTAATAACTGTAACCCACACCGATCTTCTGGCTCCAAATCTCCTACTTTTTCTACTATACCACTTGATTCCTTTTATTCAACAAATAATTGTGCCATTATTATTTAATTTATTTTTAAATAAAAAATTATTTTGTTATTCGGTCCTGTCTGACTCTTTATGACCTCATTTTGGATTTTCTTGGCAAAGACAATGGAGTGGTTTGCCATTTCATTCTCCGGCTAGTATCTGAGGCCAGATTTGAACTCAGGAAGATGAGTCTTCCTGACTCCAGCTCTGGCACTCTATCCTCTGCATCACCTAGCTGCATCATCATCATCATCACCATCATCACCCTGCAAAGAATTGTGTTAAGTGGTGTGGAGGAAACAAAGATGTACATAGCCTTTGCATTTGAAGAGTTTATAACTCAAGGGAGGAGATAAACCATGCACACAATTATCAAACATTATGTAAAAAGTGCCATAGGAATAGTCCAAAGAGTAGGAACCTATGGGGGAGTATAGGTGACAACAGGTAGAAATGACTACTTCCAGTTGGAAGGTCAGTGAAATAGTCATTGAGGAAGTGGTGTTGAATTTGGACCTTGAAGGGTGGATGGATTGGAAGTGGAAAGAAAAAATATTCCAGGCAGAGAGAATGATCCAAGAAAAGTCCAATAGACTGAAAAGAATGCACCAGTGGGTAAAGCACAGGACATGTAAAGGAGAGTTGTTGATCATAAGCCTGGAAAGAGAGGTTTAAGCCAGATATGAAGGTGGGTCTTAGAATACCTCATCGGTAAATTTGTATTTGGAATATTCATTTTCAGAAGGACCTAGGTTAAGGGGCAGCCAGGTGGCGCAGTGGATAGAGCACCTGCCCTGAAGTCAGAAGGATCTGAGTTCAAATTTGGCCTCAGAACAAACACTTGACACTTACTAGCTGTGTGACCCTGGGCAAGTCACTTAACCCCAACTGCCTAAGCAAAAAAAAAAAAAAGACCTAGGTTCAAATTCTAACTCAGATGTTTACTAGTTGTGAGACCCTGAGCATGTCCCTTCACATTTCTGATTGTCAATTTCCTCATCCATAAATAAAGGAATTGGACTCACTTTCCTCCATGATCCCTTACAGCTCTAAATCATTAGGGTTTGGTTGGTTTAAAAATATGATCCCATCCAACATGGTGCAGTGAAGATGCTGATAGATTTAGAATTACAAGACCCAGACTTGAATCTCTTCCCTTCCCTTTCCTTCTCTACCATGTGTGAGTTGCAGGACCTTCAGTCAGCCAAGTTCTCTGGTCTTTGGTTTCCTTATGCAAAATGAGGGGCTTAGGCCCCTAAGATCCCCCCTAACTCTAAAGTTATGATCATATTTAATAAAGGACATAGAGGGAAAGGAAGGAAGGAGGGAGGGAGGGAAGGAAAGAAAAGAAGAAGGAAGGGAAGAAAGAAAGAAAAGATGGAGAAATGAAGGAAAGGAGGAAGGAAGGAAGGTAGGAAAAAAGAAAGGAAAGGATGGAGGAAGGAAGGGAGGGAGGAAGGAAGAAGGACACAGCTAAGGAACAAAGGAGAGAAGGAAAGAAGGAAGGAAAGAAGGGAGGAAGAAAGAAGAGGAGGAAGGAAGAAAAGGAAGAAAGGGAGAATGGAAGGCAGAAAAAAAGGAAGAAAGGAAAGAAGAAAGGTGCTAAATAAATGCTTGTTCCCTCCATCCAGGAAGGGTGGTGGTAGACACTGATGGTTTTTGACCTGAAGAAGAGCGTGATCAAATGAGTTCTTTGGAACAATTTGTTTGGAAGTACCATGTGGAATGGCCTAGACCAGACAGAGGCCAAAGGCAAGAGAATTAGTTAGAAGGATATTGCAACAGTTAAGGGAAAGCATAAGTTAAGAATAGTGAGAATAAAATGGAAAATAATGAGAAACAAGGAAGAACAACAAGCTAGGATAATTAATTATCTGTAAGGAGCAATAAAAATAACTCTGAAGTTTCAAATTTGGCCGAGAAGAAGAATAACAGGACTTTTTAAACATGATAAAATGTGGTCTCTGTCCTGACTTCAAAGAAATCATTACAACCACAAAGTCCTAGATCAGTTGGCCTAATCACAAAGGTTTTTGGGCAAATTGGAGAGGTGCTAATTAGATGTCTACACAAACTATTTCCAGATTCATAGATTCATAGGTTATTAGAGGAAGAAAGGACCTGAGAGAGTTTCAAGTTGCCATCCAGATCTTAATGTATGATCCCGTTGTTAATAGTCATCTGGCGCATGCTCAGAGTGCCTCTGGCAGGTCCCTTCATGGAGATGCCTCCTTCCTGCTTCCAGGACAGTTATGATCAAATGTCTGGTTCTGGTCAACTAACTATGTGGTGAAGGAAAAATCCTTTGACTGATTGCAAAGGCATTCAAAAAGATCTGTTCTCTTTAGTTACTTCCTCTTTTACTTCAGTGTTCTTGATGGAGTTTGGTGACTGTTGATCACGACATTATAAGTTTGAAATTTTGGAGGGTGTCTTTGGCATCCTGGCATTCCAGACCAGATTTGCACAGTGCAGTATCAATGCCTCCATGGCATGAAGTTAGTAAAACTTCCCTCGGCAAGCTGGTATTCCAGAATTCCAGTTTTTAGTTAGCACAACAATAAAAGGCCACAGGGAGCAAGGAGTGGCATTCAGAAAT